AGGATTGGGTGTGAAGAGCCCGGCTACTGTGTTTTTTAACCCTGTGGTTTGTCTGTTGGGCGTCAGTTCACGTATGGAAAACAAACTCTAAATCAGGAAGTAGCCGACTGTTTCTTCTGTGTCTCCTTTGCTGGATCTTCGTTCACCTGCTGCAGGGTCTCTGGACCCTTTTCTCTTCCTCTGTGCTGTTTAGTTATCCTCTCTGAGCAGGGGACTCATCTGCTTGCCAAGGCTAACCTTTCTCCTGACCTCTAGTCGCACATCTCCAACTGCCTGTTGGACATCTTAAACTGGTTGACCGATGACATCTTTTTTAAAAAATAAGTTTTTGTTGATGTATTTTGTTTTTTTTTAATATCACCATAATTTCCCCCAGTATCTCTCTTCTTGCCGTACCCAGGGAGCCATCTTATTTACCAAGTGGTATTTTTTAAAGACAAAAAGTCTGAAAATATATGCCATGTGCAATACTTATTGACCTCCCATCTCTGCAGATGAGTGGGGTAGGAGTGTCTCCTCATTCTACCCATGCTTGTTTTTTATAATTTTGCAACATAACACTTGATTTGTGTGTATGTGGTTCTTGCCATTTATATTGTTGTAATCATTTTGTGTACATTCCTTTGCTTACTTCACTGTCAGTTCATGGAGATCTTTTCTATGATTCTCTGTATTCACCACATTTATAATTTCTTTTTTAAATTTTATTTTTAATTTAAGGAATAAAACAAGCATTTCTTTATTATAACAGTATAATAAAAAAGATTATTGTACATGAAACTTCAAGTCTTCTATCAAATACACAAATATGTAAATTTCCTTTTTTTTCCCTGCTTCCCCATGGCTAGCATTAGATACATATAGGGGGTGTGTGTGTAAGATTATTCTATACACACTTCTATTTATCATTTCTTTCTTTGGATGTAGATAGCATCATTCTTAAGTCCTTTATATTTTTTTTGCATAAAATGGTGCAATAAAAAAGATTATTGTACATGAAATTTCAAGTCTTCTGTCAAATATACAACAAAGTTATCATGTAAATTTCCTTTTTTTCTACCCCCCCTCCCCATAGCTCTCATTAGACACAAATAGGAATATGTGTGTGTATATATGTAAAATTATTCTATACACACTTCTATTTATCATTTTTCTTTGCATGTAAATAGCATCTTTCTTGTGTCCTTTATATTTTTTTTCATAAAATAGTACAATAAAAAAGATGATTGCACATGAAACTGCAAATCCACTATGCACAGCTTGCTTTTCCTTTCAAATATACAACAAATATATACATGATGTATTATATACATCCTGTAAATTTCTCCCCCCATATCTACCATTAAACACAAATAGATGTGTGTGTGTACATATATGTAAAATTATTCTATGCATACTTTTATCAGTTCTTTCTTTAGATGCAGATAGTCTGTTTCTTCATATGTCCTTTATAGCCACTTTGGTTATTTATAATAATCAAAATAACTTATTCACTCAAAGTCATTCTTAAAACAATATTGCTGTTACTGTATACACTGTTCTCTTGATTGTGCACATTTCATTCTTCATTATTTCATGCAAGTCTTTCCTTGTTTTTCTAAAATCACTGAGTGCGTTGTTTCTTATGGCACGGAGTCTTCCATCACAATTATATACTACAACTTGTTCAGCCATTCCCCAGTTGATGAAGATCCCTACAGTTTCTGGTTCTTTGCCACCACAAAGAGAGCTGCTATAAACATTTTAGAATATATAGATTCTTTTCTTTTTTCCCTAAGTATTTTCAAAAATAGGCCAAGTAGTGGTATTGCTGGGTCAAAGGATATAGATCCAAAACTTAACTAATTACCATTCCCCTCAGATTCTCCTTTCTTCCTAACTTCCCTGTAACTGTCATGGGTACCACCATCTTCCCAGTCATCTAGGCTCACAAACTAGATGTCATTCTTGAATCTTTACTTTCTCTTGATCTGTTTCCAAGGCCGTATTCTCTCTTCATAGCATCTCATTCTCTCATACGCCTACTTCTCTTCTCTGATCCTGCCACCATCCTGGTGCCAGGCCCTTAGCACCTCACATGGACACTATTGCTATAATCTGCTGGTTGGTCTCCCTGCCTCAAGTCTCTCCCCACCCCAGTCCATCTTCCGTTCAGCTCTCAATTTGATCTTCCTAAAGTGCCAGTTCCATCACCTTTCCCCCACTCATTGCCCCTTTAGTAAACTCCACTGGCATCCCCAGGCACTGGCTTCCAGGATCAAGTATAAAATCCTCTTGGTTTTCAAAGCCCTTCATAACTTGCCCCCTACCCCTCCACTTTCCAATTTTCTGACAGTTTACTCCCTTGCACAAAAGTCTGTGATGAAATGACCCTGGCCTCCTTGCAGCTGATGTTCCATCTCCAAACTTGGAGCATTTTCACTGACTGCTCTCCCATGCTTGGAACTGTCTTTACTCATCTTAGCCTGGTGGTTTCCCTTGCTTCCTTTAAGTCTCTGCCAAAGTCCCGCCTTTAGTAAGAAACCTTTTCCGTTCTTATCTCAAGCCTTCCCTCTGAGATTACTCTCAATTGATTCTGCATAGAGCTTGTTTGTGCTTCAGGGTTTGCTGTTGTCTCTCGAATTATTAGACTAAACTCCTTGAGAGCAGGGACTGGTTTTTTTTTTGGCTTTCTTTATATCTCTAGAGTTTAGCTGAGGATCTGGCACATAGCAAGTGCTTAGTAAATGCTAATTGACTGAATGTAAGTTGCTCACTAGCATTAGTGAGCCAGAAGTAGGAAAGCACATTTAAAAAATTTTTGAATCTAGATTCCTCCTCATTGCCATTTTACTCAAATGCTTTTCTAAGGAAATTGTTTTTTGCCTTATGAAATGAAAGGAGACTAGTTTAGGTGTCTTCAATATCATTTAGTCGTCAATCCCCACCTCCCCAATTATTGATGAGATGGATGAAGTGCAGGATAGTAAAGTAATAACCAGGTTAAAGCAAGGACTAAATCTGGCTGAATCTGATTTAGAACTCGGGTTCTTTGACTCCATAGGAGTATATTTTCTACTCTACCACATTATCACACCTTTTATTCTGACTATTCGGTTCTTGGGGGGAACCCCAAAACTTGAACTTACTGTATTAACCTATTTAATCAAACATGAGTTAACAAGTAAAAAGTTGCTTTAACCTGCCTGCTTAATAAAGAGAGTTTTAAAGATTAGTTGGTTTTAGTGACTAAATTGTAAGGGAAAAAAATCTTTTTTTAATGTCAGTAATTTCTCATGACTTCTTCCCCTGCCCTGCCCAAGAAAAAAAAAGAAGTAAACTACTAGAATGATGGCATTGGATATCATAGGCAATATTCTTCACAGTCCTTGACCTGCAAGGTACCAAGGGTCCGGGGATGCTATGGATATTTCAGTAGCTGCTCTCCAGGACCAGCATAGGTTTTTCATTTATTTGGAGTTTCCTTTTTATAAATTCCTTACATTGATTTATCACAATTTGTTCAGCCATTTCCCAGTCAATGGATACCCATTTTGCTCTCATTTCTTTGCTGTTGTGAATATTTTGGTATATTCCGGACCTTTTCTTTTTCATTGTTGTTTTTAATCTCCATGGGGTCTATGCCCAGTAGTGATCAAGAGAACAAACAGTGTAATGACTTCTCTCATTTCAGAGCTTTGCCAGCAGTAAATAAGTTTGCTTGTCTTCTCACAGTTCTCAAACATGGCATGTTTTTTAAAAAAACGTCCCAAATTGAGGATGATAATAGAAATGCAAATGAACACAACTGCAGTTTTGCCATTTCCCACTTAGAGAAGTGGTTAAAGGATACAAACAGTGTTCAAAAGAACTTAGAACAATTAATGACTACGTGTAAGAATCCCTCAAAGCACTAAAAAGATAACTGGAAATCAAAATAACTGATACCCCATATCCAGCAAATTAGCAAAGAAGACAAAAGATGGCTATTGGATGGAACCAGTTATAAAGAGACAGGCATTGTGGTGAGATGAATTAGTGTAATCATTATAGAAGGTAATTTGGAATTATGCAAATAAAGTGACTTTTTGACCCATAGATTACACTGCTAGTCATATACTTTAAAAGAAGACATTAACAAAAAAGACAGCTCCATATGCACCACTATATCTATAGCAATATTTTTTGTGAAGAACTGGAAACCAAGGAGATGCCCATCAGTTGGGAAATGGCTGACCAAATGGTGGTACAATGAGTGTGTTGGAATGTTACTGTGCCATAAGAAATGATAAGCATAATGAATACAGAAAAGCATGGAAAAGCTTATATGAAATGGTGGAAAATGAAGTAAAGCAGATCCAGTAAAATATTATTCACAATGGCTATAGCAAATAAATGTAAAGACAACCATGAAATGCCCAAAACCGAATGTAAAATTATAAAGCATAAACTTGGCCCCAAAGACTTATGAGAAGCCTCCCCTCTTCCCCTTTGCAGAGATCAAGATCAGTGGGTGTGGAACACTGTATATCGTCAGATTTTTTTAAAAATGGTTTTTCTGAATTTTTTTCTTCCTTAAAATTTTTTTTTGTTATAAAGGATGGTAAGGGGAGGTGGTTGGTTCCAATGGGAAATGTAGGCAATATATCCTTTGATTGGAGAGGAAGATGAATATCAGAAAGCCTTCCCACATTCTCTATATAAAAAAGGGGGTCCAGGGCAGCCATCTTACCATTATCCACCCTCTACATGTCTTCAAAATTTTCTCCTCCTTCCCCCTCTTCATCTTTTTATGTGTTATTTTCCCCCATTAGATTGTGAGCTCTTCAAGGTTAGAGATTGTCTTTTGCCTTTCTTTGTACCCCATTGCTTAGCATAATGCTTGGCACATAGTAGAGATTTAATACATGTTTATTGAATAAATGAAAAAAATACATTTTTTAAACTAAGGTTTTTCCTCACACCCTATACATTGTCTGAGATGACAGAAAATGAAGAGTAATTCTTTATATGTTTTCCAGATGAGATCCGTGTCTGTGGACCTGAATGTTGATCCTTCACTCCAGATTGATATCCCTGATGCCCTCAGTGAAAGAGATAAGGTCAAGTTCACAGTGCATACAAAGGTAATTTTACATATGGGAAAAAAAGGGAGGTGGTAGTAAGAAAGGCTATAAAGCTAGGTTATGTTTATTTTGTACCCTTTCGATAGATATGGAAATAACCATGAATTTTATTGGATTGTTGGTGAGGGAAAGATGGCATGCTATGCTACTAGCAGTGTGTAGGTAATGGTCTATATTTGAAGTTGATTGTTATCTCTCAACCTTTTTTCTTCCTTTATAGACCACTCTGTCTGTTTTTCAAAGTCCAGAGTTTTCTGTTACAAGACAACATGAAGACTTTGTGTGGCTACATGATACGCTTACTGAAACCGAAGAATATGCAGGGCTCATTGTAAGACTTGCTGAGGCTTTAAAGGGGCACATTGTTCTGCCAAGATGCTTCCTTTCTCAGTTATTGCTTCATTTGCTTGAAATAACCTTTTCTCATCTTTAATACAGCAGAAATTTGTTTTAGTATCTTTCAGCTCTTTTTAACAAAATGATTATTTTTCTGTTTAAATGAAAGGAGATACTAATGATAAAACCTTTCAAATGGTTGTGATTTTGCAAAATACCACCAATGTGATAAGATTAGCCTTATTTTCCTATTTGGTCTTTGACTCTGTTTAATGTAGAATTGGCTGCAAGCAGTTTGGTAATGAAGGTATCTGAAGTTTTTTTCATTTTGACCCCTCACCTTGCTTTATCATGAGCTCAATAGAATAAGGACTTGTGCAGACCAACCCAACCACAAATATTCAGCCTTAGTATTATAATAGGACAGTACAGGTGCTGCTTAATATTTATTGTAGCACTCTGCTCAAGTAAGGATTTAGTCCCATGCCACTATCTTCATTCTACTTATCCTGTAGTTTTTTGGTTTTTGCATTCATAAATTGTTTAAAGGAGTACCAGATGCAATTTGACCTGCCAAGTAGTCAATAAAAATAAATGTTTTCTCAACCTAAATGGCGGATCCTCGTTGACGATTTAATCCTAGTTGGCAGTTGAACATGTGAATAGGGGTGTCCACTCGGCCAAGACTTAAAGCACTTTAAAACAAAACAAAACATTCCTATGAAGTCCCTTTGTTTGAAGACTAGAAACCATTTCTAGTATTAATGATGACTCAGTGCTGGCTGCAGTTTTAGAGATATTGAACCCTGGAGATTTTAAATGCTTGCTTAAGCTAGTGTTAAAACAGGTTAAAAACTCTTGTACCCTGGAATCCCATCTTCCATTTTTGTCAATGATAATCTCTAGGTCTAATAGTCAAACGACTAAATTAAAGAAAGACAAATATATTTCCTTTTTAATTTAAGTTTGAAGGACTAAGGTAAACCTAAGTGCTTGTCTAGGACAGGCACCTCTCCCCCCCCCCAAGTGTTACATGTAATATCCCACAGGTTTTTGCCTGAATTACTTTTTGGGGGTGGAGTGAGTGAGATTTGCCTTAGCCATTTAGTCTGCTATCATTCTATGGGGAGATACTGCAGCTGTTCTTTTGTTTCCCTCCTAAATATTGCCCATTCTTGTTCTGGAGCTGACTGACTTTGGAATGGGATGATAGAATATAGAAAGAAAAATTGAATCTTTCAATATGACCTGAAATAGGGTTTCTTAAAAATCTTATTTAATATTATAGTCAATAGTCCTCATGAATATTGTGTTTAATGCAGATACCACCTGCTCCTACAAAGCCTGACTTTGATGGCCCCAGAGAGAAGATGCAGAAGCTGGGGGAGGGCGAAGGCTCTATGACAAAAGAAGAATTTGCAAAAATGAAGCAAGAACTAGAAGCGTAAGTGTAGTGTTTTGGAGGGTGGCTTTTGGTTTATTGACTCCCTTTAGAGGAAACAGAAAGAGGCTTGGGAATAGGTACAGAGAATATATTCAGTGGCTACTGGTTCTATGTGAATGTTGTTTATTGTTATCTACTCGACTTTGTAGACCATCTCATCTCATTCTTTCACTTCATAGAGGAGGAAGCAGGCTCAGAGGAGGGAACTGAATTATCTAATATCACACAGGAGCATAGCTGGGATATAAACCCAGTCTTACCCAATAGACCACCTTTCATCTCATAACCTAAAGAAGTACTTTCTTTGTTCTGTCCTTGTTAATTGGGGGATGGGTGCATAGAAGAGCTTTTTCCACGTTGTTAAGTGGTATGATTATCCTGTAACTGTTTCTTTTCGCTGTAACTTATAAAACCCACTTAAAGTCCTAAGTCAGAATATGGGATATGGGTGGGGCAGCGGGCCAAGGACAGAACTTTAGGAAACACTTCTGTGTTCTTCCTTTTTGTCTTTCCTCATCTGCATTCAACAGTTTCCTATTCCTTCCAGACTCTTTCATTGGCTTCATTTATGATGTTCTGCATTCCTAGTTCTCTTTCTATATTTGACCTTTCTCTGGCTCCTCTCTTTCTAGCCTTATCCTACATAAAGCTATTACCTCACTCTTTATTTATATGCCCAGGACTGACCTGCTTTCTTAGTTACACACACACACACACACACACATACTCACACACACTCTCTCTTACACTTCATTCAACATGTCAGCACTGATTGCCATCCCTCAAGTTTATTCTTTATGACTTTTCCATTTCTGTTAATGTTCATATACTGTCTGTGTCATATTTAGAACCTTGGAGTCATCTTTTCTATTTCTTCCTTCACCTCCACATTGTTGCTAAGTCCTATTTTACCACTTTAGCATCTCTTAAATCTGTCCCTCCCTGCTGTTACCACTCCTTACTGTACTCCTGGACTACTGCAGTACTGTAATCAGAATCCCATTTTTAGACTCTTTTGTCCAAGCTATCTTGAATGTTAGAACAGTTTTCTTAATGCACAGTTCTGATCATGGCTTTCTATTGCTTGCCAGATAAAAGTCCAGATTCTGTAAGCCTAACAATTAGAGTTATTCTATATTCTGGCTTCACCTACCTGTTTAGTCTTCTCTCACTCCACCCATTCATAGACCATATATTCCGTTACAACTGGACTATTTATTGTTCTTCATTCATCTCATACTTTTCTGACCTTGGGCCTTTTCTTAATGCTGTTCCCTAAACATGGGATTTTGTACTTTGGCATATTTACTTATTGAATTGCTAAATGTTTGCTCATGAAGTTTTCCTTGATCATACCTTCCACCTAGTTGGAAGTTATCTTTCTCTGAACCTTCATAGCATTTTTTTTTTGTACCATTGATCATTCAGATTTTATATTCTTATATTTTTGTGCATGTCTTATCTCCCCAGGTTATTGCCTCATAGGCAAGTACCATGTCTTACTTGTCTTTGAATATCTTTGTCAGAATGCTTCTATGCACATTGCAGCCATTTATTAGATGATGGTAGAATGAATTGAGTTATTCCTAGTCTTCCCAACCCTCTATTGTATAAATTTTGTTTGTAAATATGTTAGATCTGGCCTAGTTATTTCGCATTTACTTTGCCATGGTAGAAATACATTTGGCAGTAAACATCCAATTAGACTGTAGACTTTTAAAAGTCAGGGTCATATTTGTTGTAAAATTAATCAGCTTCTTCCAAACTCCCTCCTCCCTATACACACACATACACAGTAGGTAGGACAATGCTTGTATGTGAATGGGTACCCAAATATCGGTAAATTTTTATTACCCAAAGATTATTCTTTAAATTTGTGGGGATAGTTTAAAAAAAAATGAATAGACTCAAGGAGTTGGGTGGAGGGGCAATGACAATCCACTGAAACTGCTTATTTCAGACTTTGTGCTTGTGTTAATTGCATGACTGCTTAGAACTCTATATATATATATAGCTGGTTTTGATTGGAGATTTGACTTGTCTCTGGAACTGATAAATTATGGTAATAGATTAGTGTGATTCTTGCTAATCACACCTGAGCAATGGGAGATAACCATGATGATATTTAGTATTGATTTGATTTTTGTATTTTGGTGGTTTCTGCTAATGCCATTATGTTCTTTACTGATCTGTTGCTTACCTAGGTGAGGACAGCAACATAATCAAACGCCATTTGTCACACTAATTCTAGTGTCAAATTTTGATAAGCCAATAGTTAATCAATACTGGGGATCATTAAGATGATCAAAGAATTGAGCATAAGTCTCAATACTGTACATTTATTTCAGGGAATATCTAGCTGTCTTTAAGAAGACTGTATCATCCCATGAAGTTTTTCTTCAGCGACTTTCTTCTCATCCTGTCCTCAGCAAAGATCGCAACTTTCATGTTTTCCTGGAATATGATCAGGATGTAAGACACTTACATCTCTTTTATAGGGTCTGTTAAGATTATACTGCACGCCCCAAAACTCATTGAGATGGTTCTAAGTTTGTCACTATGGTAGTACAAACTGGAGACACAGTTTTAGCAAGAAAAACTTTCAGATTTCAAATGGAGCCATTGTAGAAAGCATTTTGCTAACTCACTCATTATCTTTCCTTGCCAGGAAAAGTCATTTTTCTTTTTTCTTCCAAAGCACTCATTCCTGCCTTTGCCGCACTGCCTCCCCCCGCCCCCAACATGAGCAGAAGCCGTAAGGTCAAAGAGTAGTCACGCGTGCACACTCGTTCATGGTTCTAAGAGAGGTCCTTGGCCACATCCATTCTGCTTCTTGAGGTTTTGTGATTGGCGCTGCAGAGATTTTTCATGTTTAGTTTCTTGTCTCTTCTTAAGTGTTAGACTCTTATAGTATCACTAAATTAAATGTTTTTCTTTTCTAAATAAAGGTTGTATATTAAAATATAATCAATTATATGACTTTTCCTTTGTAGTTTTTGCAGGCAACCCAAGCAAATGTTTCAGATTTATATGAATAAAAATCTCTATAGCTGATCAGGCAATGTTATGCCGTATCTTAAGAACTGAAGTTTTGGGGCAGCTAGGTGGCACGGTGGATAGAGCACCGGCCCTGAAGTCAGGAGGACCTGAGTTCAAATTCGGCCTCAGACCAAACACTTGACACGTACTAGCTGTCTGACTTTGGGCAAGTCACTTAACCCCTATTGCCTCACTAAAAAAAAAAAACAAAAAAAAAAACTGAAGTTTCAAGAAGTAGGGAGACCTTTGTTTAGGCTTAACAATTAGCTTCCAGTTTAACTTAGTTGGATTGGGTGTTCCACACATCCATTAAATAAAGGAAATATCTTCCAAAAGTGACCACACTGGGGAAAATACTATAAATGGCTTAGAACATGATTATGATTCTTCTTAGTTCATAACATGTAATGTGTACTCCATGAGCCATCTTTTTGAAACTTTTTCTACTCCTTTTTTTTTTACCTCCTCCCTACCCCTTCCCTCTCCAATTCCAGCTAAGTGTTAGGAGGAAAAACACTAAGGAGATGTTTGGTGGCTTCTTTAAAAGTGTGGTGAAAAGCGCTGATGAAGTTCTTTTTTCTGGAGTTAAGGTAAATGGCTTTTAACTTTTTTTTTTCCTGAAATGTGATTCTATTTTTTGGGTATAGTTGGCAATTGTATCTTCTAGTAACGGAAAGAAAAACAATTCTGTACTATCATACATCCGTGATAAAAATGTTTCCCAGCAAGAACATTAATTAAAAAGATGGATTTTCTCTTTTACATCCACATTTTTCCTTAGCATTTTGTATAGCACTCACTAGCTACTGTATTAAGCAAGGGAAAAGACCAAAAAAGGTCTCTAATATATCCCTTTTGTTTCAGTGACCTACTTCAGCTACAACAAGAATAATCTTGGGAGAAGAAAACAGGTTTCTCAGCAAGTAGAAGCTGGAGGGAGAGCACTCAAGATGTAGATAGGGCTTCCTTCCGAGGGAGGAAGATGCAGGTCACTGTAACAGAAAGGGAGGCAGTAAGGATTCACGAATAGAAAAGCAGCAGCCCCAGAAGGGGAGAACAAAAGGGCAGCCAGAAGAGAGTTGAGAGCTTAAAATTGGGGTATGTATAGAAGAGAACCCACCAGCAGAGGGTCGATTTTACCTTTCCCGTAGTTGGAATATATCTGTCTAAAGTCCTTTTTCCTTAGGGTACAGATGGCTTTACGTGTGTCTTTCACCTCTTAAGTTGGCATAATAATCCTACCAACAAGAATAGACTAAACAGGGGGGGCAGCTAGGTGGCGCAGGTGGATAGAGCACCGGCCCTGAAGTCAGGAGGACCTGAGTTCAAATACGGCCTCAAACCAAACACTTGACACTTATTAGCTGTGTGACCCTGGGCAAGTCACTTAACACCAATTGCCTAAAAATTAAAAAAAATAAAAAAATAAAAGAATAGACTAAACATAGCCAGCCAGTTTTGAACGATGTCACCACAAGAATACTGAGCTCAAGGAATGTCTCACTATCACATTTTGCTCTTGTGAAATGGTCATAGTATTATGCTCCATTTTTTATAAGCTAGAAAAATTTAAACGAAATTTGAAAGTTGAACCCTGGCTCCTTCTATATTGGCCATTTGTTACATCTGAGTCTCTTAAATGATCCTATGACTTCAATTTATGTATTCTCTTTACATAAACTGATACTCATTATCAAGTATACAGAACATAGTTTCCTCCCATACCTTTAAGGTAAGAGAATGAATCCCTTGGGTCCTCCATTACAGGACTGTCTTTACCAGTCAAGTCATGCTTTATTCTTGGCTAAACTGGGCAGTGTGCCCTTTGATTGGTGTTGCTTTCCGGTGGTGATGCACAGACTGAGTGGTTTCCTCTTGGTCACGCAAGCCTTTATGCCTCAGCTACTATTAATGCAGAGGGATCATGGTGCAGAGAGAGAACTGGAAGGGAGATGTTCCCACTTGGGCATTCCTTGGGTTAACATCCTGAACACAGTCTTCCTGTGTTGCAACAAGCTTCCTCGGCTCCTGAGATGCCATTGCAGTTTAAGAACTCCTTTATCAGCCTAGTACTTTAACAGGAAATGAAATCTCATCTGGCCTCACCAAGTATTCTCATTTTCAGCTCCTTCTTCTCCACTAATCTTACCCTTTAAAAAAAATGCTTCCAACTCGAATATAAAATTTTTGTTTCCACATTCTTCACTTCCTCCTTCCATCTTGTCTCAGATTAAAAAAAAAAAAAGCACCCCACCATTGCCCTGGAAATGTTTCTTTATAAATTAAAGAATATTGCCAGATAGGTTTATTAAGTTCCTACTATGTGCAAGGCACTGTGCCAGATGCAGTAGATGCCCCCCCTCAAAAGATACTGAATCACAAGATTTGCCTCCAAGCCTCTCCTTTAATAGGTTTTTAGCTGCTAATTGTTACTATGAATGTACCTTTTTTTGGGAGCAAGGGAAGAATTGGAGAGTTGGCTGTTAAGCTCACCTGAGCCTTTCACAGTTGTTTCTTTTTTCTCTTGCTTATTGATGCTCAGGTCCTAGCATGTTATTCTATTTTCATTTCTCTCCTAGTAATGAAGTTTAATATCTCGTATAATAGGTAAAGTCATTTTAAAGTCTGATCCCTAATTGGAATGTCTGAACTCAAGAACTGTTAGAGTGAACTTTGGATTCTAAAGTTGTGTTATTCTATGAAAATATCTCAGCTAGTCCAGGTTTTCTCTCTTGGTTTGGTTAACTTAATACTTTTTTTTTAAACATCTTTTTTTCCCCCTTTATAGGAGGTAGATGACTTCTTTGACCAAGAGAAGAATTTCCTCATCAACTATTACAATAGGATCAAGGATTCATGTGCAAAAGCCGACAGAATGACCAGATCTCATAAAAGTACTTACCATAGACTTGCTGGGTTAATTAAAAAAAAAAGAAAGAAAGAAAAGAAAAAGAAAGAAAAATTGCTAATTTTCAGCTTTGTTCCTATAGAACTGAAAGTTTTATTCTTTTTGCAGATGTTGCAGATGACTATATCCACACTTCAGCCTGCTTGAATAGCCTAGCTTTAGAAGAGCCAACTGTCATAAAAAAGTAAGCAGAGTTGGGGGGTGGGAGGGTGGCACAGAGTGCACGAAAAGTTCAGGCACATCCTAAAATCAAATTAGAAATTTGGATAAGTACTTAGTTGATGAGTTTCAGTGTGCTGTTAGAAGTAGTTTTGGATATTAAATTGACCTCTTCTCTTTCTCTTTACTGCTAAGACGTCATCCTTATCACCCATAGTTCCTTCTTTGAAAAGGATTATTTTGGTTTATATGATAACTAGAAATAGACTAGGAATACTGGGGATAAGCATGCTTCCTGTTTGGAACTGTGCTAAGCTCGGTATTTCTTAGCCTTCTGAAAGTTAAAGACTAGCTTCTCTTTAGCATTTTATACTCATCAAAGCACTTTGATATCCAAGTGCTTTGGGTCTTTCAGCCGAAAAGTTAGGTAGATCACATGTATCTCTTTCAATTCAGCAAACATTTATTTGTGAGATTTTGAAATTTCGGCCCAGCTAGGTGCCTTGCCCTCCTAGTTAAGTCACCTGACTGCAGTTAAGAATAAAGCTTCGGTCTGCTGAGTCTGCAGTCTGACTAGAGGAAACATCAAATTGAGAGTGACCTCAAGGTGAATGAAGGTAGTTAGGAGACATTCAAAATCAGCTGTTTGTGAGAAGAAATCATACTTTTTTTGTTTGTCCTTCGTTCTTTTAAAATAAAATTAATTTATTTTTAGTTTTCAACCTTCACTTCCATAAGATTTTGAGTTTTAAATTTTCTCCCTCTCCCCAAGATGGTATACAATCTGATATAGGCTCTATGTATACATTCATGTTAAATATATTTTCACATTAGTCATGAAGAAATCATACTTTTGATTAATTTAGTCATGGTAGTGGCTTCTGGCTTAAGAGTCGTAAGATGGAGACAAGATGCCATGAGCAGTTTCTCCTAAAGAGTCTGTTTATTTGTCTATAAAATGAGGGGTTTGGATTTAGAAGTAAGGTAAGGAAAGAAAGAACTGTGGAGTTTGAATGTAGATTGAAGCATACTATATGCTATTTTTTTCTTCTGTTTTGTTTCCTCTTTCTGTTGGTTCTTCCTGTTGGTTCTAATTCTTCCTTACAATATCAATAATGTGAAAATATGTTTAATAGGAATGTATATGTATAGTCTATATCAGATTGTGCTCATCTTGGGGAGGGAGAGGGAAGGGAGGGGGAGAAAAATTTAAAACTCAGAAGCTTATGGAAGTGATTGTTGATAAATCAAAATAAATTAATAAAAAGAAATAAGGTAAGGGCCTTTTCTTGCTTTGCATTTTATAATTTATTTGCATCTCTAACTTTGTGTCAATGTTTTGGTTTTGTTAAATATTTTCAACTGAATTCTCTGCCTGTGATTGTTTCTATATAACACTGTCAATGTGAACTTATTGTTTCTGTTAGAATTCATGTGTGAAATTGAATAAGTCTTACCAAAGGAGTAAAATAGAGCTTTTCAAAATGTTTGATCTGAAATAATAGATATTTTGTCCCAATTACTGATGTAAATCATTTGTAACTGAGTGCCTGACCCTGGTTTGTGACCATGAGGTTTTGAATTCAGAAAAATATGTTGTACCCGCATTTAAGGTCTTGGCTATGTTAAAATATAAAACTGAGGCTGGTAATAGCTTATTTTTTTTCTTTAAATACATTTGTATTGATATCTTTTGTTTTTGTAATGTTTGTATTTCCCATTGTATCCTTCCCTCATCCCCTTACAGAGCGCCATCCCTTATACTAAAGAAAAAGTTCTGTGAAACTAACCAATAGATCAGAAAAGTCTGATGCAATATTCTTTATCCACAATCCACCATTTGTGCAGAAAAGTGGGAGGTGTCTCAGATCTTTGTTTTGTGGCTAAATTTTTGGCAGTTATAATTTTGCAGGCAGTTTTGATGTTTTGTAATTCTCTGATTAAAATTGTGTAATCGGTGAGCATATTGTTTTTCTGTTTTTGTTTATATCAGTTTCATATAAGTTCCCCTGACTTTTCATATTCCATTTTGTTTCATGTGTCACAATTTCTTAAGCCATTCCCTAATAAATGGGCATCTACTTTGTTTCCATTTCTTTGCTACCACAAAAAAAAAAATTTGCTGTAAATAATTTGTCATATATAGGATTTTTCTTTTATGCCTTCCAGTGAAAGAGTCAAAAGATGTGAACCTTTTGGTCACTTTGTGAATTTCCAAATTGTTTTCTAGAATGTTTGAACTAAAGGTGATAGTTTTTAAGTGCTAGAAACTTAACCTTTTTATTTAGTGCATGGTTTTTGTTTTTGGAAGATGTGGTGGAACTGTTCTGTTTGTGTAAGGATGGGCAAGGCAGAAATTCCCTAATGTATAGCGCTTGCTGAATGCAGAAGACAGAAATGTCCTTAATGTAGTTAGTAGTAATCTATTGGATGGTAAAAGATTTACATCAGGCTTCATAAAAGAGCAAATATTCTGTGAGAAATCAAGGCAATTGACCTTTTATGTCTTTTCCCCTCCAGATATTTACTGAAAGTTGCTGAGCTATTTGAAAAGCTAAGGGTAAGTATATGTTTAACCCCCCCCCAAAAAAAAAAATTTGATTTCTCATTGGGCAAATAGTGACTGGTTCTTTTATTTGTTTTTGTTCCTTTTTATAGAAAGTGGAGGGTCGAGTATCATCAGATGAAGATTTAAAACTGACAGAGCTCCTCAGATATTATATGCTCAACATAGAAGCTGCTAAGGTAAGGATTGAAAACTCTTTACAAGTTCTGAACTAAAACAGATTGGTTCAGGTTCATCTAAGTGACTCTAAAAATTTAGTCACTTATTGACCTCCCTATGATGGGGTCATAGAAGTTTATTTACAATTTGTAGCATAAATTAAGACGTTTTACTGAAAACCCAAACTATTTCTGGAGTTTTGTTCTCTTTAAATAACTCCATATGTGTGTTAGATTTTAAGAGCCAAGTCAATCAGTCAGCAAGCATTAATTAAGCAATTAAGCATGTACCATATATCAGACCCCAGAGATACAAAGACAAATAAAAAAACAAAACAGTCCCTGCCATCGATGAGCTTACCTTCCACTGGGGGGAGATGACATGAATTTAAGTGTATATAGATCACGATACAAGATCAGTGGGGGGTGGGGTGATTAGGGAGGGGCTGTAGCATTTGGTATAGAGAGAAGGAAAGGCCTCATAGAGATGGTAGTGCCTGAGCCAAGCCTTGAAGGAAGTAACAGATTCTGGACGGTGGTAGTGTGTGGGAGTGCATGGGCGGAGGGGTCACTAGTACAGAGTCACAGAGAGAAGAAAATGGGGCATCATGTAAAGAATAGCAAAAAGGCCAGGTTGCCTAGACTGAGGGAGGAAAACTAGTTTGGTTTACTGAGGCTCTGTATAAGGAGCAGATCTGAAGCAGAGCCATAAAAACTGTTAAGTAAAAGATGATCCAGGGAGGCTTAGAAGAAGAATCGAGAATAATCATGATGTTTGGGAGTGCCAAGGAAATGTTTTTGTTGTCTTGATTAGAGTCGTCTCCCTGGGGTATATATCCAAACATAATGGACAACTTCTTGAAACTCTTCAGAGTCTGGATGGTGACCACTTACTTCTGGTGATTCACATGAGTTTATGCCCTAAAAGATAGGGAAGACAAGATCTTAGTGAAAGATGGACTGCACCTAACAAAAGCTTGTAAAGATGTACTTACCTGGTGTCTTAAAATCTCAGCAAAAGGGCTTTCAATAAATGGTGATGAGGCAAGGAGAAAACAACCTGGATATATCCACCAAGCTCTAGCTGCCCTATAGAATAGTTAGAGTGAAAGAAGACGTGTAGTAGTTGAGGCACCCATATGTTCACATAGACAAACCTATGGCCTTAAATGTTCAAAGTTCAGGCAGCAAGCAAGGTGATATAGAGGCAAATTTAACCTAATAGGTATCACTAAGACTTGAAAGGGCAAGATCCATGCCCAGAATATATCCAGCCACAGCTGGATCTACCTATCTATCTTCAAAAAGAACAGGATAGGTAAAATGGGGGCAAGGAATAAGGTGGGTAACATTGACTATTAAGAAATTCATGAAGAAATCAGGAAAATCAAAGGGGAAAAAGACTGGTGGAAACCATTTGGCTGAAGATTAATGGAGGGAGAAAAAGATCTTCTGGAGAGTATACTGAGCTGTTTGGGAAAAGAAATCACATGCCCAGCACAGAGGCATAATGTAGTATTGATGAGGGACTTTAATTATTCAGATCTTTGCTGGCACTCTCTTTCTGCCAAAACCAGAAGAGTTAATACCTTCTTGCCTTAATGATGGATAATTTCATTCTTCAAATGTTGGATGAACCAACCAAGAACCTGGTATTTTACAAATAGGGAGGAACTAACTGGTTGTTTAGGGTATAACCTGTTTGTTTGTTTTTGAGGGTGAGGGTAGGGGGGAGGGGCATGGAGTTAGAGGCCAGAAAAGATGAGCATAGTCTGATATGTACCCTTTTTTGAGGAATACAGATTTCAAAAGGTTAAGAGGAAGATAGGTAGGATTATGAGGATTAAAATCCTATAGGAGAAATCATTCCTGAAGATATGGCCAGCTCTCAAGAATGAAATTCCGAAGACACAGAAACAATTCTGAAGAAAAATAAGAATTGTCTAAAAGAGACTGATGTGAGTACATGGAGAATCCATCAAGAATTTTAAAGATATATATATATATATATCTCTCTCTAAAAGATGGAAGGACAGGTAGCAAGATGAACACAACAGGTTTGGCATAATATAGCTAAAGCACAGAGTGAATTGAGACTGGTGATTAAAAACTGATGACAGCAGAAAGAGGGGAGTCAGCTATATTGAAGGGGGAGGGGAATCAAAGAAGGGTTAGGGCTGACAACAAAAGGTGGACTTGCTCAGTTCTGATTTTTTTCCCCCAATTTTTCTGCCAAAGAAAATGACTTTTGAATGGGAAAAAACAGGAAAAACATAACTAGTAGGCAGTGGAATAAAAGTAAGGAGACAGTAGGAAAACACCAAGACGTAACTTCACTCAGTTGAACTACCTTCAGCTGGTACTAATACTTGATTGAACCACACATTTAGGTTCTGACAGAACTGATACAACTGCTGAGCCGTTGTCACTTATATATGAAAGATCATGGAGCTCTGAATCATTGATGGTTAGAAAAATGCAAATTAAAACTACTCTGAGCTTTCACCTCTCACCATGCAAATTGATTGTTCTTAAATTTTGTCATCTTTGCCCAGGTTGGAGGGGCTGGGAAAGACAGGCAAATTAATGTTCTCTGAAGTGGTCCAAACATTCTGGATATCAGTTTGGCATTGTACAGGAAAAGTGACTAAACTGTCTGTATTCCTTGACCCAGAAATCTCATGACTGCGTATATAACCCCAGTGAAATAAAAAACTGAAACAAAGGTCAACTAGATAGCAGAATATTTATAGTATCACTCTTTGTGATGGTAAAGAACGAGAAATAAAACGGGTGCCCATTGGTTGGCAGTTGGCTGGAAAACAGTGCTATGTGAATAACAAAATATTACTGTGTAAATATGAGGAATTCAGAGAAACACTGGAAGGTGTATTTGAACAAATGCAGAACTAAAAACAGTATACATAATCACTGCAAGAAACCAAATAAACCAGTCCATAAAAGCAAGTCAAACTATGAGTAACTGGAAAAACAAACAAAGGTCCTAGAGAACACAGGTAATGGAACCCTGTGCTGAAGTGCAGTCATGGGTCTCCCCCATCCCCCAGAGAAGAGAGGGACTACTAGGATGGGGTACTCTATGTGTTGTCAGGTGTTGCGAATATTTTTGCTTAACTGTTTTCCTTTGTCACAAGGAAGGGTTCAATCTGGAAGGACAGGAGGGCAGTTAAACACTTTTTATGGAGCTTGTATTCTATTGACCTATCAATTTGATATGGTCTAAAATTTTGCCATGAATTGAAGATGGTGAATCTCTAGAAAAGGAAGTAGTGATCACAAAGGGGCTCATATGACTTAATCAACAACAAATGATGACAGACTAATCTCGATTCTTTTGTCCCCCCCCTTTTTTTTTGACAGAATAAGTAAATGTGTCATTCTTGGGGGAAAGATGAAGGAATAGAGGCTAGTTACTAGTCTAATTAGATGAATTTGGATTGGGTTGATTGGCTGGATTCAGAAGTTGTTAATGGCTTGATGTCAGTTATAGGTGATATTTGCTGGAGTGGCTCAGGGATCTGTGCCTGTGTTGTTTGATGTGCTATCAGTAGGGGAAGAGAGGGAAACAAGCATATGTGAAGTGCCATGTGCCAGTCACTGTGCTATGGACTTTACAGATACCTCATTGGATCTTCACGACAACCATGGGAGATGGATGTTATTATTGCCCCTCTTTTATGGATTCAGAAACAGGCAGTTAAGTGACTTGCCAGGGGTCACACAGCTAGTTAGTGTGTGGGGCTGGGTTTGAACTCAGATTCCTGACTCTAGGCCCAGTGGTCTGTCCACTGCACTGCCCAGTTGTTACTGACTTATGGATAAAAGTTTATGTGGTGGGCTTATCAAGTTTTCAAATGACAAAGCTGGAATGGATAGATTGCATACTGGATTAGTCAGGATTCAAAGATATCCTGATGGGCTAAACGATTGGGCTGAATTTCATCAGATTACATTTAATAGGGGTAAATGTAAAATCCTGCTTGGGTTCAGTAATCCACTTCAGGTACAAGATAGGCCAGCATGGTTAGGCGATTGTCTGAAAAAGATCTGGCAGGGGATCTTAGTGGATTGCAAACTGAGTAGGCTACACTAAGGGATTTGTAGCTTTGAGGAAGAAAGGGCTGAGAAGTTCCTCCATACTCTATCTTAGACAGACCATGTGTGGGCTATGGGGTTCAGTGCTGGGTGTACCAGGTTGCGATGGATACTGAGAAGGAAGAGAGTCTCCAGAGAGGGCAGCCAGAATAATGACCAGAGTCTTCTCTGGGTGTGAGGATGGGCAAAGGGACTGGGGATGCTTAGGTTGGAGAAGGGAGTCCTTGGGTAGCATATTTAGAAAGCTGTCATGTGGAAGAAGGATCAGACTTAGTCCATTTGGCCCCAGAGGTAGAACAAGGAGCAGTGTGATATTGTGAAAACTTCCTAAGCATTATAGTTGTCCAAAAGTGGAATGGACTGCCTCAGAGGCTGAATGACCACTTGGGCAGGAGGTTGTGGTGTTGGGAGTTCTGGTGGCTGCTGAGACCTCGCTGACAAGTTCTCTAAGCTACAACTTTTTTTTTTATGATTTCCACTTGATAGAGTGAGCTTTGAGACCTTTTACCTCTAGGAGGTAGTAACTTCTATGACTTAGGAGCTTTTGTTTCCATCTGCATCTTCTATGACTTAGGAGTTTCATATCTTCCTTCCCTGTAAATGTTTTCTATCAAGTAGTGGCTTTGCTGTTTCCTTGCTTTGACCTTTGGCAAGACACTGGGTTTCTGTCTCTTCATCTGTAAAATGAGAAGGTTGGACCAGTTGATCCCTCAGGTGCCATCTGGTTTTAACATTATATAGTTCTGGTTAATCTTTAAATCAAAACTATGAAGGGATGAATTCTTTTAGGGATTTATTAGCATTGTGACTTAACTGATAGATGAATCCTTACTTCAGTTTAATGGACATATTAAGCACCTGACATTTGGAAGGTGAGAGGCAGCATGCTGTGGTGGAAGGCTGATGGTGGAGTCAGGGAGACCTGGGTACAATCCACCATGGGCCAGTCATGACTTCTCAGGGCCCCTAAGTAACAGACTGAAGTTACACACTAGTTTCTCATTTTTGTTGATGGAAGGAGTTGCCACATCTGGAGTTCCCCATACTGATGAAATCACCAGTCTGCACTAAAGATTTCTGCAGGACTTGAGGGCTACATAGGCAAAAGGATGCTCCTTCCAGATTGAACCCTCCCTTGTGACAAAAGAAAACTGTTAAACAAATATTCAGAACACCTGACAGCACATACAGTATCCCATCCTAGTAGTCCCTCACTTCTGGGGGGTGTGGGGGGGTGTCTCCATTATCTGTTCTTTAGGACCTTCACTGGTTTTTCCAGTTACTCATAGTTTGGCTTGCTTTTATGGATTGGAAGACATAGTGTGCATAAAGTATTCAAGGGGAAAAGAGAACTAATATCTGGGAGGTTGGCGGGGTGTTAGGAAAAGCCTTGTGTAAGATGGGATGTCTAAGTTGTGTTTTGGAATAAGTGAGGCATTCTGAAAGGCAGAGGTGAAGAGGGAGATGAGACCTACAAATGGAAGACAGTGTGTCTAATAAAGTGTGTGGAGATGGGATCTCATGAGGAAGAGTGAGCAAATCAGCTTGACCAGAACAGACTGTGTAAAGGGAAGGATAATGAAATGCTTGGAAAGGTAGGTAGAAGCCATATTGAAGAGGACTTTAAATGCCAGACTGAGGAGTTTGTCTTTTATCTAAGAGGTATTTTGATTAGAGGGGAAATTTGGTCAATTTGGTGTTTTAGGGATACCATTTTTGTGTCTCGGATGGATTGGAGAGGCCGGGAAACCAGTTAGGAGGCTGTTATCATATTGCAGTAGTCCAGGCTAGATATGATAAGGACCTAAGAGGGGGGGTGGGTGTTTGTGTGTGTTGGCAAAATCAGTAAGACTTAGGTGGGGGGGGAGGGTGGTGGCAGTGAGGAAAGGATGATTCAGAATAGAACTTGGATAGCTAAAAGGAGAATGATGTCATTGACAAATTGGGGGGATGGATGGCTTTGGCGGGGAGGAAATAAAATGAGTTCTATTTCGGACAGGTTGAATTTAAGATAGCTATAGGTCGTGCAGGTGAAGTTTTCTAGCAGGTATTTGCTAACATAGGATTTATATACCAGTCATTACTAACATTATAATGAGACCAGTTCTAAAATATATCTTGTATATTTTTTAAAAATACCTACAATTAAGCCATTTTACTTGTGAAATATTAACAACATAAACTTTAATTTTATGTCATTATAGTATGGCTAGTTTAGAATAATTCTATTTACTTAAAAGCAGTGTCATATTTTGATTCTTTCCCTCCATGTGTATGCTTGGAGTTATAAAAAGAAAGTTGAATTGTCCTGTGTGTCTTCTTTCCAGGATCTTTTATACAGACGTACAAAAGCCCTCATTGACTATGAAAACTCAAACAAAGCTCTGGACAAAGCCCGGTTAAAAAGCAAAGATGTCAAACTGGCTGAGGCACACCAGCAAGAATGCTGTCAAAAATTTGAACAGCTTTCTGAATCTGCAAAAGAAGGTAGAATGATGCTTATTTATCAACAGGTCTCTATAATTTAGCTGAGTTGGGCCCTCTTATTAGAGCATGTACTACAGCTCTTGGATGGTTTAGTGTTTGCTGTGGAGTGGATTAATCTGCTACAGGGTTGGCAAGAAACTCTGAAGATACTTGTGTACATCGAGTGCTAACTGTGATTACAGACAGAGGTGTTGTGGTGGGTGTGAGTAGATGTTTAGCTCAACTTTTCTTAATGTGTTTCTTACACACTTTAGAGTTGAATTTTACTTGGGGATGTCTGCATAAATGTCCATGAGTTAAAGGCTAGGTAAAATGTAGCATAAACCAAACCTTTTGACTTTTATGTTTAGCATTATGGCTAAAACTAACTTCTTTATCTAATCTTAATCTTCTTTAATGGATTGAAATGGCATTCTTGTACAATACAAATCATCACCCAGTCCTATGAGTGATTGAACATACTAAGTGCAAAATTTATCATTACTCTCCATCTGTAGGCAGACACTTTTAGTTGTGTTTTTGTAATGTTTTGCCTGGAATTAATTTTTCTTCACCCCCATTTAAGTGACTTTCTATTTTCTAAAAGCATGTTACTAAAATTTGTACCTTGGAGGACATATATAAACTATAAAAAGTTAGGAAGCTGCTTTATATACCAGGAGAAAACACAGTTGCTCTTGATACTTGACTAAAATTGAATGCGGTTACATTGCAAATGTGGTGGTGTTTCAGATTTATTCTCTCCAATTAATGGGATTGTCTCCTATCTCTAGACTTACCATCTTAGCTTTGTTTTACATCGTCACTTATACAGTAAAGATGCTGTGAGACATTTAAACTCATGATTTATAAAGCATATAGGTTTACGTCTTTATCTAGAAACACCAGTATTCTTCATCGATGATGTAGCTTTGGGATGGTGTTCTGAATAGAGATAAGATACTCATTTTTTGCATCTTAATTTTCTAGTTATAGTTCCTGATTGCCTTGTGAGTGATTATAACTTTAAAATCTTAGCATTTCTATAGTGTAAAGGGAACATGCAAATTTTTCAGGTTTTTAAAGTTGAACATTTGTCTCTCCTGTAGAACTGATCAGTTTTAAACGGAAAAGAGTGGCAGCATTTAGGAAAAACCTAATTGAAATGTCTGAACTGGAAATAAAGCATGCAAAAGTAAGTTTTATCTTCAAGTTGAATTATTACGTAGTACCAATTTTTATTTCATGAGCTGAGGAGCAGAAGATTGCTCTTTCTTCACTGATAAAATTTTGTGCCATGTGTCTCAGCAGAACTATAGCTGTATCTCACATCGTGTTGATTGGCTTCATCAGAATATATCATTGCACAAAATAACATTACTGGGAGCTAAGCATTAGAAAGAAAGTTTGGTATAAGAGTGTCCCATTTCTTGTGCTCGCATCTTGTTAAAAACTAAAAATTGAGGGGCAGCTCGGTGGCGCAGTGGATAGAGTGGGAATCTCCTGGTAGGAAACACTGGGTTCTCAGGAGGAGTCCAAGCTGCCCAGTTCCCATAGTTGTCAAACGGAGATTGGGTTGGACAAAAGAGCTTGACCTAATGATGTTAGATTGAGTTTGGGTACCTTTTTAATGATGGAATTTAGTTTTAACGTGTTAAAGACTTTGCCATTATCCATCATTGAAGGGTCATTTATAGGGTATGCCCGTATTTGATGAAAACAATATTGTGAAAAATCATGAAGTAACATGACACTAACTTATGTTCTTGTGTATTCTGACACCATGATTCTCATACTTATTTGATTGTGTAAACTAAAGAGGACAAAGACTGAATTAAGGACCACTTGTTTGTACTGGTTTTCCTCTATAAAAACGAAACCATTCTCCTAACAAATGAGAAATAATGTTGCTTTTGAGAGAGCAATATGTTATCTATAGAAATGTGGAAGTGAAATCTCTATAAACCACGAAGAAACTCCAGGCTCTATTTCAGGATCTGAAGAGAAGCAACATAAAGTAGAAAGGAGTTGGAGATCTGAAATTTAGCATATCATTAGAGTAAGGTATTCACACCAAGCTGTGTACCTGGTTCTGAATTTATCTAATGGAAAAGTCAATTCAAGTGGATTTTAGTTATCTTCTGGGGCTAAGCATTTTAAGATAGATGTGACTAAGTGACTTATTAGACTGCCTCATAGCTGTTTCTCCCCTTCCTTCTAGAATAATGTCTCCCTCTTGCAAAGCTGCATTGACCTTTTCAAGAACAACTAAGTTGCCTTTACTCTGAATGAACCTGAATGAACTGAAGATGAATGTGAAAACCAGCATCAATTGCACTCAATTTCATTAGCCATTGAAGATTTATTTTTACTTCTGACTAAAACTTTAGTCTAAAAATTTATATGAATAAATATTTTGCTTTCTGAGAAATGACTAATACATAACCATGTTTAAATTTTTTTAGAATTTTCCTTTGAGTTAAATTGCATGTATGTTATTTGGACATAGCTAACCTTTCTGTCAAATACATTTAATACCTCAAAGTGGACAGAGTACAAGTCCTAGATTCTAAATAATTCTTTTAAATGGTATAAAGAAAGGTACCTGAAAATGTGCCTGTTGGAGCAAAGCATTAGAAAGAGAGTTTGTTATAAGAATGTCCCATTTCTTGTGCTCCCATCTAGTTAAAAACTAAACGTTGAGGGGCAGCTAGGTGGCACAGTAGATAGAACACCAGTCCTGGAATCAGGAGGACCTGAGTTCAAATGCGGCCTCAGACATATTACACTCACTAGCTGTGTGACTCTGGGCAAGTCACTTAACCCTGATTGCCTCACCAAAAAAAACCCCCAAAAAACAAACAAAAAAAAACCAATTGAAAATTAAACATTGGAATTAGGAGACAATTATGTACAACAAAACATTGTTCTGCTTAAGAGATGAATTACAGGTGTCCAAACATTCCTTTTTAAATCAGATTTTTTCCCCCTATTATTCTCATAGTTCTTTAACCACCTCAAGTATTTATATTATATTGGGAGATCAAGGATATTTCATTAGATTTATTTTTGTAAGTCATCTTGTACAGGATAGGTTTTGTAGTTGGAATATAAATACACTTGGAGAAGAGAAATTTTCTCCTATTTAGAGTGTCACCAATTTAGGAGGGGAGAGGAAAATACCTTAAGGGTATGGAAAACAGTACAGTGGCCTAGTATATAGTATAATTGGCCATATTGGTTTTTTTTTTTAACTACTCCTGCTGCTTGGTATGGAGGAGCATAAAAATCCATTTAAGAGGGGGCTTGTGTGTGTCTTTCTCTTTCCTTTTTTTGTCTGTTTTGTTTTTTACACAAACTGGTTTATTGCAAAATGTATAATAAAACATAAAGAGAATACTTCCTGGAATTTCCTGTTTTTTAATTTTTATGTGTCAAAAGTATATCCTATCCAAGTCTCTGAATTCTTTTATAATTTGAAACTGTCTTAATTACAGTTGGTTAGAGATCAGTAAATGTGACTCTTTTTGATGGGTTGGGAGATGAGAGTGCAAGGGGACTGACTGCAGGATGTTGATTGAGAGTTGTGTATGAGCTGCTCTTAAGTCAGTGGGAAAAGCTAAACTAGAATGTAACTGCTAGAAAACCCTCTCCAGTACTTAACTCTGAGTCATCATTTTTGCAGTGGTCATGAATGCCACAGTGACCTAACATGGGGCTCCATAAAGCACATATTTCTATATTCCCAATTGCCATTTCCCAAAGAACTTACTTTGGAAAGAAGAGAATGAATTGGGAGTGTTTAGGCTATTTTCAGTAAACAGAATGGGTTGGTCGGGAGGGGAGAGGGAGAAGTTCATTCTGAGCATGGAGAAAGGGACAACGGTAAGAGGGAAGGATGAGAATGAGGCAGTAACCATTCACTTTAACTCTGCTGTAGTGTAATGTTGGGGAAGGAGTGTAGAAGAGCTGGGAATGGAAGGCCAAATTGTGGAAAGCCTTGCATTCTAGGATAAGGTGGTGGTGTTCCTTTGTTTCATAGGCAATGGGAAACTCCTGAAGGCTTTTGAATAAGTGAAAGGATTGAGTAGGGTGATGTTTCAGAAAGATTGCTCTTAAAGCAATATAAGTGATAGATTAAAGAGGGATAAGAGGCTAAAGACAGGAAGATCAGTTGGGACTATAATAAGAGATTAATTATGAAACCAGGAAAGGCATGGAACTTAGAGAATCATGTAATTGTAGGGGAGAAGGAAGAACTGGAACCAGGGTCTTGAGCTATGATGAAATCAGCAGAAAGGGGTAAGTTGGGAATGAGGGGATAGGCTTCTTTAGAGAAGATAGATCAAATTTTAGAGGAGAGAGGCAGGAGGGCTTTGGACAAAAGTATCCAGTAGGCACTTAGGGTGGTGGGGCTGGAGCTCAGGGGAGATAGTAAGGCTAAAATGGGTGGTTCCCAGGATTGACATGATGAATTGATAATTCAAGAAGTTACAAAATGGGTACAGGCAAGCCTGGTTCTTGGTCCTTGCTGGGAAAAACCACAACTGGTAGTGGGAAATAGGGTGGCAGTCACACTTTAGGCACATAGGGTTTGGAGACAAAAAGCACAGTAAGTACAGAGACAGTGGTGCTGTGTCCAGAGGCAAATGGCATGGGGAGGAAGGCGAGTCATAGAACCACAGATTGGAGTTGGGGAGCATTGAAGCACGTGGACTCTCGCCTATCTCACCGCTGGGGTGGTGGGACAGGAATTTGGGGTCTTTTTTTTGGGGAAGGGAATAGATTAATCTGTGCCACTGGATTATTGCATTAGCACAGCCAGATCATTTCAAAGAAGATCTGTAAAACTTTAACATGTCCACATAATCTTAAAATCAGCACAGGTCTGTGGAGATGTGGAATTTGTGGTTCATTTATATATAGGACCAAAAGGCTTTGCCAGCAGACCCTAGATGGCCATCCTTGATCACATATTACCAGGATTTGAATTTTAGTTAATACGTGATATGATTTATAGATTATGCTCCTTTGATCTTTGGGACAGTTTGTGTATGACTTCTGGGTTCTCCTTTGCAGCCTTCCTGCTATTGCGCCTTTATAACAGGCTACTTATAAACTAATTTACCTCACTAGAAGCAGGGAGGGTGGCCAGGGAGACCAGAGCAAGATACAGTTTTAATATAGATGATAGTTGTAAATATGGGAGTAGATGACTAGATCACCAGGGGGAAAGTGTAGAAAGAGAAGACCCTTTGTAAAGATTCAGCTAGTGAAGAAGACTGAAAAGTGCTAAATTGGGGGGGTGAGGGTGCAGGATGTGGAAATAGGTAATTAACAAGTTAATTAAGCTCCAATTGCTGGGAATACAAAAAAGTAATGAAACCATCTCTGCTTTCAAGTGGCTTACATTGTATTGTGAGTGTAGAGATAAATGCAGCATATGTAGAAAATGAATATAGATTGTTTGGGAGCAGAGGTAGGGCAAGACAGTGGCCGGTGATACCCAGAAGGCCTTTGTGTAGCACATGGCACTTAAGATGAACTTTCAGTGAGGCTAGGGATTCCATGAGGGAAGATGGGGTGCTAGATTTAGAGCTAGAAAGAAATGCAAGAGTCGTAGAGGCATGGAAGGAGCTGGGCCATCTGGAGTTGTCTTGACTTTTATCTTGCCACTGGACTCCAAATAACTGGAGGAGACAGTGAGACTAAGGACTTTTCGCAGCTCTGCCTCACTTAAATCCTATTCACTCACAAGTCAAGACATCACCCTCCTGATGTCAAAGGTCCTCTTTGAGAACAAAGGATGAACAACAACAACAGGCCAGGAAATTGCAATAAGAGGGAAACATTAAGGATCAGGATCTTGGAGGTGGATCAGTTTCAAGTGATGGTGAAGTCTAAGGTACAATGGAAGTGGAGGTCATTGGAGTCAAGGATACTGAATTGAGGAATTGAGTGGCCATGTTGTTGGGTTATCAAAGTTAACATTGGAGTCATCCACCATAAGGATGATTGTAGAAGTTGGAAATGAGAGGAAGACCAAGCCAAGTGCTAAAGAGGAAGGTGGAAGAGTATCTTGGAGGTTCAGTGATTGGCCCCAGGACTGGGTGATAGGATTGGATGGCATTCTGTCCAAGAAAACAGGTTATTGAATAATGGTGACAAATAAGGGTCTTGGAGTGACAATGGCAGTGGGGAGCAAGGAGTATGCTTTGTTTTCCTGTACCAGTGAGTCATGGGGTGTGAGAAGAGCCACCTTCATTGGAGAGGGTGTCAGGGGTGGGATATATATCAGAGAAAGCCAGATTTCAAATAGTGAAAGGAGGAAGAAGAGATTGAGAAAAAAGAGGAATTTAACAAAAGAATAAGATCATACTAATAGAGTTCTGCCTAAAGAGTTTTCGAAGAGGTAGAGCTGATGTAACTAGAGATAAGAATGTAGGGAGACCCAGTAGGAGAAAGGGATTTCCATCTAGGCCAGTATTTTTTTTTTTTTTTGAGTTAGGCAATTGGGGTTAAGTGGCTTGCCCAGGGTCACACAGCTAGTAAGTGTCAAGCATCTGAGGCCAGATTTGAACTCAGGTCCTCCTGACTCCAAGGCCAGAGCCATATCCACTTCATCACCTAGCTGCCCCTAGACCAATATTCTTAATCTTTCTTTGTATCATGGATCCCTTTGGCAGCCTGGTGAAGCCTATGTACTTTCTCAGAATAATATTTGCAAATTATTAAAGGAAATGCTAAGATTAGTGAAAATAAAAATGTAGTTTTCTTCTTATTCAAGTTAACAGCCCCTGAAATCTATCCACTGACTCTTTGAGCGGGGGAGGGGGACCCAGTAAATAGTTGTAAATGACAAGGATATCAAGTAATCGACAGATATTTATTACAGGGATTATTAACGTGTAGTCCATGAACCTTTAAAAATATTTTGATGACTGTATTTCAGTAGAACCTGTTTCCTTTGTAATGTGACAGCTGAAAATTTCTGAGACACAGAGTTTCTGGGTAAATTATAATCAGTTTTATTAACTGCATTTAGAAAGCAGTCAACAAAATAGGTTCATTGTTCTCAGTGAACAAAAGAGGCCAAGCCTGTCAAACCTTCAATGTTTATAAAGGCTTTTGTAAAGGGGTTGCACCTGCAGGTGAAAATCATCTCTGATTAGTTAACAAGTAATGAGAGAATGAATATTATAATGAGAGGTGGGCTTATTCCAATATAGGTCTTGGGGTACATGACGCTGAGCACCCACTTTTGGTCAAAGAGACTTATCGATATCTGTATCACCTGTCTGACAAAAGGGAGAATCCACATTTTACCAGAACTGTCTGAGTAAACACAAGGAGCAGGAATCCACCCATTTACCTAAACTTAAATTTTCTTTACTTTCTTTAATTAGATCTTAGCCTTACTGGCTGGGTAAGTCTTACCCAAT